ATTATGCACTCTCGCCTTCGACTTGATCCTCGTTACATATTTGTGCAGGGATTGCATCATCGACAAAAATGCAAGAATCGGGAAGAATGTCGTCATTGCGAACTCCGAGGTACACCGATTTAAATTCCCCTTGCTATGCAACCTAAAAGATGTTCATTTCATTAAGTGATATCGACCCGTCGCTCACACTGTGGACTAAACTGGTCAGAGTATATTCATCAGATTCTCAGATGATCAAATTTCACTCATCCTGTTGCAGGGAATACAAGAAGCTGACAGATCTTCGGAAGGCTTCTACATCAGATCGGGCATCACCATCACGCTGAAAAACTCGACGATCCCGGATGGATTTGTAATATAGACGGACCGCCTCATCCTTTCATTTTGTTCTGCGATTAGGACGGGATATCAAGGGTACCAAAAAAGACGACGAACATAAGATTATGTTTGCTTGAGAAGGGAAAGAAACATGTCACTGCAATAAGCCAGTGTCCTCAAGGCATACATCAGTATGCGATGCGAACGACCCAAATCCTCGCCCGTCTTTCGATTGATTCTTGTAACACAACTTACATTCAGATTCTCTCGACAAGTTTATGAAACAGTTACCGGACGACGATAAATTTGTTAGTACAGATTACGAAACAAGAAGAGATTGCCAATTGCTTTCATAAAAAAGATCACAGCTGCATAGGTAAGACCCAAGATCATACCCCAATGTAGTATAGATGCATGTTGCAGAAATCATGGGGACCAGAATCAATTGGACCGGCAGCAAATGGGCGGGCCGGAATCAATTGGACCGACCGACGACTCGGCCCCGACTAGGCTTTTTAATTTGGATTACTTAAATCGAACCCGCCCATCTGCTCTTCGGGCTCGGTGGATCTACTGGGCACGTGAACAGGTATACTATCAATCTGGGGACAATTACAGCGGGAGTCCTAAAACTTGTACTTCTGAAGTACTAATGTCGTCAAACTTTCATTTCGTGCGTTTTTTTTGGGTTCTAAAACTTGTCCCCATTCTCCACGTTTGGCTTGTGCTTCTGTTAGCTTTGTTTGTTAGCTTTTTGGTGGACCAAAAGTCCAAGATAACTTTTTTTATTAATTTTTTAGTCCACGTAGGGTCGAATAAGCCAGTGGGAGTTCATTAAAACCTAAAATGGGGTCGTTTCGTGTTACAGATAAACCAAAAAAATAAAAATAAATTAAGAAATAAAGAAATAAACTGAAAACTAAAAAAAAAGGTATATGTTTATTGGAATTCGTAAAATTTGTTACGAAAGTGCAATTGAGTTCTGCAACTTACAAAAAGTGCAATTAAGTGTTCAAACTTGTTGAAATTGTATAATTGAGCCCTTCCGTTAATTCTATCCAATTTGACTGATGGAAAATGACGATGTGATTTTTTTTTTCTCTATCATAAGTGGCGATGGCATGGTTTAAATGGTGTTATTTTGATCCAAATCAGTTTTTTAATACAAATTATTTAAGTCGTATTAAAAATAAAAAAAATAAAAATAAAAAAGGTTAGAACGAGGTGGCGAGGGCTTTGCAGGCCTCGCATTGCTACCGCACCATCTCTAGGGGCCAGCGACCCTTGCTAACCATTTCCACACCATTGCCAGCCCTTCTCGGCGATGGTGGGGCGGCGGCGACGGCGGCGAGGGTCGTTGTTTGGATTGCATTAAGAATCAGATTTGAACCAAAACGATGTTATTTTAGCTTTATGTTTTGTGTTTTAGCCACATCATCGTCACATAGGAGAGAAAATTTTAAAAAAAGTCGCGTTAACATTTTCCATTGACCAAATTGGACAGAGTTAACAAAATAATTCGATTGCACAAATTTGACAAGTTTTAGGATTTGATTGCACTTTTTGAAATTTTTAGGACTGGATTGCACCTTCGTAACAGGTTTTAGGACTTCCGATGCACATATTCAAAAAAAAAAAAAAGAGGGGATAGGGGCGGTGACATGTGCAACAGGGTCGGGAACCCTCGCCGAGGTCGCTACGAGGGGCACGCGATGGCCAGCCGACCGACCCTTTTGCCCCTGCGGCGACAAGCCGCACCGCCCCAACCGTCGAGAACAGGGGGTCTCGCCATCTTTCCAAAATCTCTACACAATATTTCCCAAAATAAAAAAGAAAAAAGAAAAAGTAAAATCGCAGCACCACCTTCTACGGCGGGATCTCCTGCAGAAAAGGTCAAAAAATCCAAACCGGGGTTAAAGCACATCTTTTTCCACGATTTAACTCGCCCAGTTTTTTCACCTTTTGACGGCCGTAACTTTTGTGGAAAGGTCAAATGGACAGCCAACGTGTTCCCACGAAGCTGTTGCGAAAAGTCAAGATTCGTTTAAAGACTCGTCGTCACCGTAGGAGTTCGCACGTTGGGCCATACACTCTCCTCCCACTTTCTTCCTCGTGCTTTGGGAAAATTTTCACACTCGTTCAAGATGACCTCATTGTGTCCCTTCCTTTATTTTAATTTTCTCCCCCACCCTTTTTTGACCTCAATTTCCGAGCCATATTATTATTATTATTATTTAGGTGCCCGCTATATATATATAAAGAAAAATGAGAAAAGGAAAAGAAAAAAAAAAAGAAAAAGAAATCGACGTGGGATTCACGAAGGAGAAGATTCCACAGGACATGTCGGCATGTCTACTTCGGAGAATATTATTTTTCTTTTTAGGGTTAATACTACTAAAAATTTCAAATTATGCCCACTATAACCTGCTCATCTCAATTTTTTTTTGTGTCACTAAAACCTTTAAGTTGTGACACAAATACCTCAAACTTTTCTTTGAGTCGTAAAATACCCCGGATTATATTAGTGTGACAAATATATCCTGAATAGAATTGTAATAAAGAGTATAAATGTCATATATGTATAAGTTCAGGTTTTTTTCGTGACACAAAAAAAAGTTAGGGTATCTGTGTCACAGTAGACATAATTTGAAATTTTTTGTGTTGTTTTACCCTTCTTTTATTATTACTTTCGACTTTTTTCAAGTCTTATAGCGGGTGCGTTTTGTTTTTTTTAATGTAAAATATTTGAAATCTTTAAATATAGTAGTCTTATATTGAGGTTTAGATTTACATATAACTTTTTCACGCTATTTTGAATTTTGCATGAAAACCAAAAGATTACTTCCGACTAACCCTAATTATGCGAAGAGTGCAGTAGTCTTCCCCATTCCCATGTAATTGGATAATTTTCGGGATAGGAACTCAGGAGGCTCGTTACGTCGCGAACCAGCAGCCGGCACCTTCAAGGCTTGCCCGGTCATCTTGGCCATCTCCACGATCTGTTGGGTCTTGAAAACTTCCGGTCTATGACATGTAAATCTATAAAATATAAGTTTCGAATGGCTGATCTTAATTGTAAGCGGCACAAATTATCACGATCCCGAGGAGCCATTATTTAGTTAGGATGGTGAATGTAAAGAATTCCATCAGACATGACGGTTCACATGCTTTCTAAATAGAGAGCCGTTGGATCGGAGGTGGAGAACTCCTGCCGGCGGCCGTCCGATCACGGAGGATGAAAGCTCCAAAGCTTCGGTTATAAAGGTGGGGAGAGGGAAGTGGGGTTGGTGAATGGATTTAGATTTCTTAACCCTTGATTTAGAAGTGAAGTGACATCACTGCCAAATCGAGTGGAGGACGAAAAGAGTAAAATAGCCCAAAAAACAAAAACGTATGAATTTTAGGTGACGTGCAATAATTAGGTGATGATAGCCAAGGAAATGGACAAGGTGTTATTATTGCTTCTCAACTTTACCTTTTCTTTTTTCATGAAAGATTTTATATTATATTGTATTTATATTATAGTATACACATATATCAAAATCAGCTTTGTAAGAAATGAAAATTGACCCAGGTAGTGTTCCAATAAATGAAAACTGCAAGAAATGTGTCACATAGGTCTCATACCTAATTGGGTTTAAGCCATGAAGATTTTGACTTATCATTTGCTTGTAGGTTGCGACCTTCGATCTAATCGCGGCTTTGAAAACAAAAGGGTTTCTGTCGGTTATGAGTTAGCAAAAGAGAAACAATTATAATTAGTGAAAAATTTAAATCTTTCCTTTGCTCTAAACGAGCACAAGCAATTTAAGTTAATGCAAGCGGGTTTTTTTTTTTGTGGGTCGAAAAAGCAGGCGTAGTTGATCCGATGATATTTTGTGTTTTTCTAAACTTGAAGTGCCTTAACTCTTCAACTACAAAATTGGACTTGCCGATATATTATACAAATTTCGTCTCGACTCAACTTGACTCGATTTGATTTTAGGGTTAATATCACCAAAGACTCCAAACTGATACATTTGTGACAAATTTACCCTCCGTTAGTTTCCGTTAAATTAGATTAATACAACAAAAAACGACAAACCGGTACACCTGTGACAAATGGAGGGTAAAACCCTAAACTGGTACACCCGTCAACTGTCATATATCATCCAACTCAGCAATTTGACAGTAAAATTGAACAGAATCTAACGGAGGGTAAATTTGTCATAGGTATATCAGTTTTGGATTTTCGCAGTATTAACTCTTGATTTTATTATCATAAACGGAATTTTAGCCAAAAACTCAACCTCGAAGTTCGATATATGGTTTTTGCAAGCACACTAAATATGCAAAAGTAAATAATTTTTATATGTGTTTCAAGGGTAAAATTTTCTCAATCCCTTATATTATGCAATTCATCTATGGCACCCAACATTACTTTGCCTTAATAACCAAGGGGAGGGTGGGGGAACAGCTTTTTGAAAAGCAGTGTCTTTTTTTTTTCTTTTTTTTTTCCTCCCATTAAATTGAAATTAAAGGGAGCCTAATCTTGATATTTGATAAAGAAAAAGTGATGAAACAGCTGAACTCTTTTTGTTTTTGTTTTTGGGTGAGATTTGATGGAAAAGGTAAGATGAAATGAAAATGAAATAAAATGATGAAATAAATGCAGGAAAGGTGGGGTTTTTGATCCCACCAAAAAGCAGAGCAGCACCGCCTGAATCGGATGTTTTCCTTCCTCCTCTGTTCTTTCTTCTCTTTCTTTCCCTCGCCCCTCGCCACACTTCTCCTTCTCCTCCCCCATAAATTTCTCTTCTTTGACTCTTTCTCTCTCTTCTCTCTCTCTCCTCCGCGTCTCCGCTTTTCCAGGGTGCTTTCCTTCTCCTTCTCCGCGACCCATCTCCCATCGCCTCCCTGTGAAGCGACCCAGTTGAGCTCCCATGGCGAATTTCGCCCCCTTCCCGTCTTCTTCCCTGGAGAAGCCCCCGAGCTTCTTCACCGCCTCCTCCTCCTCCTCCTCCTCTGCCCCTCCGGCTGATGCTGCTGCCGGCGGCGGCGGCGGCGACGACGTCTTCGAGGAGGACGGCTGCAGCATCTGCCTCGAGTGTTTCACCTCCCAGGACCCCGCCACTGTATGATCATTACCTGTCGTTGCGTCGGTGGTCGTTGTTGTTTTTGGCTTTGTGGGTCGTGTGCGTGTGCGTGTGCGTGTGTGTGACGGTGAGGGATGGTGTGGGTTGATGATAGTGTCGCTGGTGGATCAGTGTGGTGGAAGTGATTTTCTGGGGTTTTGGGAACGTAATGGGGGGTAGTGGGAGCTTTATGGTGTTGGAATTGTCGGAATGTCGGATCGTGTTAGGAAAGAGGATGAATTGCATTTGGTTTTGCATCCGGTAGATTCGTACTGCCTCTGGTTTAGGATATGATGGCAATGGTCTGAAGTTCACCATCTGCTTCAATACAGGATGTAGAACCTGGGAGGTTTGGGGATCATTGGTGGGTTAATTTGTTTCTTCCTGCTCTGCCGGATTCGAAACGAAATGTGGGTTAGTTTGTGTTAGCAAGTGTGAGCAGGATATGTTGTTTTTCTTTGGTCGGCCCAAGGTATGGTCATGGGGGAACTGGGTGCCTGATTGTTTGAGGCTGCGCTGCACTGTCCTCTAGTATGGTCCTGTTGATCTGGGTGCAACTATTGGAATACCTGGTGCATATTTGGGAAATGATAGATTTCAATAGCCAAACATTCTTTAGTGGATGAGACAAAAACCACTTGTTTATGAATGCGTGTCACTCTCTTTTGGATGCATCAATTATTCTGTTTTCGCATTAAACTTCTTTTTGTTCAGCCGATGATTTCTTTTTCTGGGGAGAACTGCTGTGTAATCGAAGTTATTTTCTAAGTGGGTTGTCTCTATCCTTTTCCTGTTACAGGTTACGACTTGCAATCATGAATATCACCTTCAATGTATTCTTGAATGGTAAAGCCTAACCTAATATTATTCGATTCTAGGTTTATAGTTTCTTGGCTTGTTTCCCACCGTGTGGGATTCTGGTTCCACGTTGTTTGTGGTGAATCTATTACATCCAGGCAATCACCCAGTCACAATAATTGAGATCACTTTCTTACAGGTCACAAAGAAGCAAAGAATGCCCAATCTGTTGGCAGTTACTTTCCCTGAAGGACCCTGGCAGGTATGCAGTCATTGTGGCTGGTTATTCCTTGGGATTATTCTTGCATTTGTAATTGGAAGCCTACCTCACAAGCAAATAGGATGTTTGCATGTTGATTCAAGCTTTTGTTTCATCAAGCACCGCTTCTCATGTATATGTTCCTTTTTCCGTAGCCAAGAGCTTCTCAGTGCTGTTGAGCAGGAAAGAAAGAGAAGGTCGAGGAACAGATCTACCCCTTCACCGACCACTGTCATCAGTTTCCCTGAGGATTTTGGCATCGGACAAGTATTTCACATATAAGAGTCATTTTTCTTATGCTTTCACAAGTGTTGTTAGAGGCACATTAGATGAGTGTGTACTTATTTTGTCCCTTTACGCTCCCTACAGGATCTTTCCTCACAAGATGTCTCAGATATTGATGAGCGTGTTCTGCAGCATTTAGCTGCTGCAGTGAGTAGGGCTCATTATGTACGCAGAAGGGAGAGACAGAGATCCTCTGGACTTGGTTCTTCCAGAGTCCGTGTTTCTAGCTCTCCAGACAATTCCCCCGGGATGCACCATTCACACCTGACTAATACAGAAGGGCAAGAAGGTTTAATTGTTGAATCTTCTAGTAGTGATTTAACTTCTGGAACTCCAATCTGTCTAAACATTCGTCCTCAATCCCCAATGTCCTCTCCTATTGCAAACATGGCTCCCGGCGCTGCAGTCAATGGAGGAACTTTTGGTAGCAGGTAGAAAGTTGAAAATTGAATACATTTTTCAATGTCTTGCCTTCCCTGATGAATCTACTCTCTTTATATTATTGATATATCTTTCTTTAACTCATGCTGATCGAAAGCGTCGATAGATTTTTCATGATCTTGATTAATAGTAGGATGATACATCACATGACATATTATCTGTAGCTTGTCATCCTATATGTGCTAGTGCTAACTTCAATCACCCTTGTAGGATGTTCTCATATCTGTTGAACACCTGTGGAAAATGTCCTGTGTGGTATGGGTATTCTTAGGGGGATTGATTTTTCAGAGTGGTGCCTTTGTTGATTAGTGGTTTTCAAAGATGTTCTTATGATCGACATTTAATTTTTTACAGAATTCTTCAGAGCCAGATACGAGTTAACAGTCATCAGAGCCCACAGGAACCTAGTCCACCTGAAATTTCCTCCTTCTCAGAGTCTTTAAAATCTAAGTTCTCTTCTGCAACTGCCAGGTAAAAGTATTTTGCAACTTGATAATGCTGGAGAATTACCTTTTGTCATGGTTATTCTGTGAAGAGTCTAACCTATGATATATGTGTATCAGATACAAGGAGTCAATCTCAAAGGGCACTAGAGGTTTGAAGGAGAAGATACTTGCACGCAACAGCTCAGTCAAGGAGCTGAGTAAGGGAGTTCAGCGTGAGATGAGTGCTGGAATTGCTGGTGTTGCCCGAATTATTGAGCGCCTAGACCTGACTCCTAAGCGATCTGGAACCTCTGCTTCTGTCGCTGGTCATGTCGTAGAAACTTCGAATTTCTCCACCAGGGAAAAGAGTTCTCTGGAGGATCTTCTGACTCAATCTTTTAGAGATGGTACAGAAATAGTGCACAACATAAGTCCAGATGCAGAATTGCATGACATGGGTAATATCCCAGGTCGACTTGAAGTTATTCCAACCCAGGTAACAACACCCTTCTTTCTGCAGTTTGACTTTATACTTAATTTTCTTGCGGAATGTATTTGCATGAGCTGTTTGCTTAGCATCAAAAGGGCGATTTATTTTTTGCACATGGAAGCATGATAAATCGTTTTCATCTTATATTTCTGCAGGAGAGACATTGACGCTGCTGTATTGTGGGATGGCCGTGAGCTATATTGGTTTTTCTACTTGTGGCTCGTGCGAAGGCAAGTGAAGCAAGTGACGTACTGTTAGAAAACCAACTTCCTCATTGGTTTCTGCGTCCTGCATCCACTGTTCATGTGAAGGAACCATCAGCTGATTGTTTAACATATGAAAGCATTCTTTCTATGTACTTGTGGGTATTGAAGAGTCATTGGATAATTCTCATATTGCTTATGTTTCTATTCACAAAGTCGCTTGCACCTTCAAGAATTCAAAGATACTTCCATTTCCTCCTATACAATTTACTATGGACAGACCAAGATGCTGAATGTCTTTCACTATGGGGATCATACAGAAACACTTCTCCAAGCCTCAGCATCTCGTCCTTTTGTTTTGCAACGGTAAAAGCATAACACTGGCGCGAGAGGAAATTTACAAAATCCCAATACCATTGTGCAAAAAAAGAGAATTTTGTAGAGGGCTTCCAAGGTTTAAACCTTGACGAACTGCGATTGGGAAACGACACTCGCATATGCAAGTTCAAAGAGATATGGGATAAGTAAAGGTTGTGATAACTGCAGTACTCTGGTGGATCTATTTACAAGGTCATTTTTATTTCTGAGATTCTTGAAATGCATATTGCTGCATTTTTGTCCTCTGTAAGTTCTTGATTGCCTTAATGATTTCCCTCGATGCCTCTTTTGGTCTCTTTTCTCTGCATCGCTCGTCTTAGTGATGATTCTGCTCATCTAAGTGGCGAGCGTGAGCGTCAAGCTACTGACCTATATGTGCTCGATTTGTCGATTATTCAAACTCGGCTCATTTTCTTTTCGAATTAGAATAACTGATTGAGTAAAGCTTGAGCCTAGAAAGCTGCTGTATATCTATCATTACGGAGAAGATCCAGAAATACTACCACGTCCCCACATCCCATCTTTTTCAATAGCAATGGCAAAAGCAGAACAGATTCTACTTTAGTGCGCTTTCAAAATTCTACTTCGAGCTTGAGATTGGATTTCAATGGGAATCGAAAATTTGTTGGCTAGCCAAGTTGAGCCTGATGAAAACTTAGTCAAGTTGAGCTCGAACTTGAGAAGACTCGTTCGAATTCGCGTTGAACATCCAGTTACACATTCGAGTGTGGTCACACTAAGTATTGAATTCTGGTTGACTCAACTTGGCTCAACTCCACCCTTAACTACTCCCGTGAAATAAAATCTTCAGCTGCCAATTATCAAATCAAAGTGAAGAATCTTCTATCGCAATTAAAAGAGTGGTTGAGCTTAACTGGTTCTCTACAGAGAACTAAGCAAGGCCGCTTCTGTCAAATGCCACATTTTACGCAAAATGCGTTAATCAAGGACAATTGACCTCGAGGATAGAGCCACAAGGCGTTTTGAGGCTAGTCAATCATTGTACTGTGCAAAAAGCATCGATAAAATTTTTCATTTTGGTGTAGGAGGAGCACAAAAACCTTGTTTCTCATTGTTCACAATCAACTTATTATCATAATACCTGAGAGTCAAGCTGCAAGTGATCATCCTACGCCTCATAAAACAGTGTATCAATGAACAGACAACCTCATGTAACTTGTGCAAGATAGTACACAGCAGCTAGTCATGACATTCTTTCTGAGAGTCAGGCCTCAGTAAGCAAGTGCTTCTCGGAGGATCGCAAAAATAGGAAACGTGCCTCATATCTGTCCCAGAATAACCTCGGCACCAGAAACCTTGAGGTCGGATGGAGCTTCTTCCACATTGAGAGCCTTCACTTTCCCGTCTTCCACATAAGCTGACCATCTACACCAGAACAGCCATTTGATTACATAAAAAGTAAATCCAAAGGTAAAATTATCATTTAGTTAGGCATTTCATCCATAAAGTTCTGGTCCAAAGGTAAAAATGACAGACGGAAGGAGATTCAACAAGGATGTTTGATGTCCAATATTAACTTATTAGAGCCTAGGGTATACCTTTCAGAGCGAAGTCCAAGCAAAGCTGCTGAGAGATCTTTAGTCAAGTCCAAGCTCTTATGGAAGCTAGCATCAAAATCCCCATAGAATTCGATCTATTATGTTTAGGACAAACAGCACGAGTTCATGTAAGAGCCTTCTTTCACTTTAAAATGTGGGGAGGTACAGACGAGAGATGTTCACAAACAAGGCAAAAATCAAGCTTCCCTTGTTGTGATAGATACATGAACCGCATTCCTTCACTGTGTCATACACATACTATCATAAAGAAGCATCATTTGCATCTCTGGAAATGCATTGTTTTGCCCAAGGAAACTTCTGTAGTAGTACACTTTCTTTAAAGATGGTGCTAATAATAAAACTGAGGTAACTATTCTAGCTGCTCTACTACCACCAGTTCACCTCTGATTGTGATCAATGCACGTCCTAACGATGTGCATTTACAATTTTGCAAAAGGGACGTTGTGACAAAACGGAGAATTATCTTCTTGAAAAAAAGAAAAAGAAAGAAAGTAACCTCATACTGATGTTCTACAAGTTGCAGGAGTAAATGTGAGGCATTACCAGAAATCTTCACAACAATCAAATTTTTCCTCAAGAAATTATCAAAAAGGCAAGGCAAGAAACTCAACACCCAACTCAACCAACTCAAACATTCCAAAACTGTTCATAATTAATTTAACAGAGAAAAGACTGCCAAAAGGATATTTGGATGAAGAAAATATGTAAGCCAGACACAATAGCTCATCTCTAGAAGCAAAGAATTGGGTTTCAAAATTAACAACTTACAGCATCTTTCGCTTTGAGAGTTTCGGCCCAGCCGTTCATGGTGTAGGGGTCATTAACAGCCACACAAATCACAGAGTCTATGCCTTTAGCCTTAAACTTATCGACATTATTCTTGTAGCTAGGCACATGCTGCTGTGAACAAACTCCTGTGTATGCACCCTGGGAGACGTCAAGTATGAAAACTTGATTAGAAAGCACCAAGAGAGAGAAGAAAAAGTAAAACCAGTAAAGAATTCTTAAATATTGACTCGCTATTCTTTATTATTTGACTTGCAGTAGCTACAGCTTCAATATGTCAAATCTTCTTACATTTAACGTGTCTCAGTTTCCGAGGTTAAAATGGCAAGACAATAACTGGATTATGCATTCCAAGAAAGCATATGCAACATCATTAAGAAGAGACTGACATAAACAGTTTTAAGCTCATATACAGTTCTCTTGACAAGCGTGGCATTAGATGCAAGATGAATTCAGTATCAGGGACCTGGGTACAAATTAAAAAAAATAAAGATACAGTGTAGATAAAACTAGAATACCATAAGAGGTAAGACGGAAGATTAAATATGTCATCACATCAAACTACATTATTAACAGACAACAACAGAGTTTTCTCAAAACATGCTAATTTGTTGTGCAACTAAGTTTGTTCAAGGTGAATTATGCTTTTAACTTCTTATTTCTATTTTTTGCTTTTAGTGTTTTAGATTGACTATTATTTAGTATTGAACACCACGATATCAAAATGTATGTGAATTATAACATTAATGTCTGGTGAAACTTATTTATAATTGTCTAAAATCCAAATTTCTTTTCTCTTTTTTTATTCGATTTTGGTGGGAAGTCATAACAGTTAGTAAAAGTCACCTCGATGTCCAAACCTTCCTCAATGATGCAGCTGGGATCATGAAGTAAGTGGACCACAGAACCCACACATGGTGGACTAGCATGCAATCTCATATTATGGACTGCATAGCCTTTGAAGTTTCTGCTAGAAACCCAGCACCTATTCTTTCTAAAAGTACAACAATATTCGGAGAATGGGACAGTTTCCCATAAAACCATAAAAAACCGAATTCTAATACGATGTCATTTATTAGGCTCTTATTCAGATTTCTATATCCGCCTTCCAGCTTTTAAGAAACAAGAACGTTGCAGAGTTCAAAAGACAGAATTCAACTTTTGCTATCTAGTGAGCAATAAGTTCTGTCGCAACGCAGACCAGGAACAACTCCAGAAATCAAAGAGCACAACATGACTCTCCCATGGTTAAGTCTAGGTACATATCTACCGATCTATTCAAGCCTCCATACAATGACACCAACCGCGACGGCAAGAACACAAAAGCAAGCCATTCAAAAACAATTGCAACGATTTCCATCAGTTGCATTCAACCCATTTCAGATGTCAGGGAAAAGAGCAAACTTCGCCACTGAGTTAGCACTAAATAAGGAAGACATTGCTTGCTGCAATTGACACCCATGAATCAACTGCCCAGAAAAAAGAAGGGCTCAATCATTTCGCACAAATTTGCAAACATAAAAGAGTGAAGGATTCACTCACCGGGAGACCGAAAATCACAACCTTCTTGCCCTGAAATCCCATGTCCAGATGAAGCCCAGGCCAAGCAAATCAGTAAAATTCAGATACTAAACTTCCGCTGCAAATGAAGCAATCGCAAGAAATCGAAGACCACCCACCTTGAAGATATCCTTGAGAGGGGTGGTGGCGAACTTGGAGGACACGCCCTCGTCCCAGCTCCGAGCCTTCTGGAGGGAGACGCCCGGCGCGGCGGAGACTATGTCGCCGCCGACCGCGATCGAAGCGTAGGGTCTGGCCGCCGCCGCCGCCGCCATCCTCAGGCCGCCGAGGACGGAGGAGCTCGAGCGCTTCGCGATCAGCGACGCCATCGGCAGAGGTTCGCAGTGGACTGATGTGGTTCCTTCTCCACCAGTTTTGTTCCGCAGTTTGAGGAAGGAGTGAAGTCTTTTTCGACCCATTAAAAATTGAAATACGTTTTGACCAAAATATAAAAAATCAAAATATATCAACATTAATGCTCCGTTTGTTTCATAAAAAATAAAATATTTTTTTAAATATATTTTTCGAAAAGTCATTTTTTAAGAAAATGATAATATTTTTCGATATTTAGCTAAAATCTGAAGATGAATTGAAAAATATTTTTCATTATTTGGTAAGAAAAATCTCACAAACCCGCTAAAAGTATTGGAGTCTCAAGCCCAGTTCCCCGGCTCCCGAGCACGAGCATCGATGTTAGTCTTGGGTCCATTGAAGTCGAGCCCAAGAATCCGATGCCCATGCTTGGCTCCCTATTGCCCTGGCCCGGGCCTATAGAGGCCAAGCTCGAGTCCATCGAGGTCGTGCTTCGGTGCCCTGGAGGCTCGAGGCTTAGTGTCGGTGTTTGCGCCCAGGTTCATCAAGGCTAGACTCCATACTTCTATGCCCAAGATTGGGATCTCGGCTTCTAGGGTCCGCGTCATAAGTGTACCATTTTGAGGTTTTTTATGATAAAAAAATTAGTTTATAGTAAATTTATCAAATGTACCAATTTGAAATTTTTCGTGATATTAACTCTATATTTTTCTGTAGA